GAGAGAGAGAGAGAGAGAGAGAGAGAGAGAGAGAGAGAGAAAGGGAGAAAGGGAAAGAGAGGGAGAGGGAGAGAGGGGGTGGAGAGAGAGGGGAGAGAGGGGGCACACACAAAAACTGGTGGACGGACAGAGTGTGAAGGGAAAGAAAGAATGCAAACATTTATTTGTGTAGCAAACGACAAAAAGAGCCGCTTGTCATGCTCAGCTTATTCAACCGGCAAAACCTCGAGTTTCTCATAACAGTGGGTTCCTGACCCCCTAACATTCAATGACAATTACTTTGGAACTAAAACAGCTGGACACGTAAATACTCTTTTCTTTCACTTGAAGGGCTTGTGCAGATCTACGAACTGATGCCCATCGTGCTATTTCTATTATCTATTTGTGGTGGCCGAATTTTGCTATTCTAAAGGCTTTTTTAATGCCAGCGTCGATCGATATGCGGTTTTCGCCAAAAGATTCTTTAAAATATTCTCCAGATCATGACGCCCTTGGTTTTTTTTTTGGGGGGGGGTTTTAGACATTTTTGCTGCAAAAAGCTAAATTTCTTTATTTCGCCGATCGTTTTTGTAGGCCGACGCTTCTGTCTCTGTAATTTTAGAAAACCCGGAAGTGATATTTCGCGAGGCGCATTTTGTTTTGATTGAGAGTATAGATCTTTTTTTTTTTTTTAAAGTTTTAGTAGAGGTTTTACGGCGCTCGCAATTTCATATGGTCATATGAACGCCAGAAGATTAGAGGTGTTACAAGAGAGTAACAAACATAAAAAAGAAGAAGGGGAGATACGGACGATAGATGTTTCATAGGAAAGAAGAAGCAAACCACACCAGAGCGCCCGCCAACCACCCACAGTGTAGATCTAGACCTTCTCATTTTTTGCATCTCTCAAGATTTATTGCCCCATTCCAGTAGAGTGTAAATATAGTAGGCCAATTACTTTTAGTTGATATTAAAGCACCGATCTTTTCTTTCATCGAAAGGGGGTCCAGCTAGTATTCTCTAAATGCGACGTGCGTCCAATTTTGTTGTGTTGCTACGCATTTTGCTACCGGGCTGCAACGGTAACTGACCTGACGGGACAGAAAAAAATACCTCAGGTGTTCCGTCAGTTACTGAAACTAAACACATCAAAAATGTGTATAAAGTGCTTTTTTTAATGACTGCATTTGATTCATAATATGTCTTTCAAATGTTCTGATCGTTTAAGGTTGAAATAAATTAAATCATAGTGTTGTCACTGTAAGAATGTATGGTCCAAATACATGTATTCCGTCAGTTACCGTGGAATAGCCCTACTCTAGAATTACAAAGTTCTATCTGCTCAGTACCTAGCTAGTTGACGTTAAAAAAAAATGAGTATCACAACATGTCAAGCCTTTTCGAAAGCAAATCTTTGGATATCTTGATAAAGACTCCAAAAAATCTTACGATTTTGATAGAGCAGATATAACATTTGGTTTCTGACCTCATGATCTTAGTAACAAAAAAAAAGCCAAAAAATCCCCCCCACCCCCCCC